TTTGAAAATGCTCATATTTCTCCATATTTCATAAATATAATTTTTTTGAAGAACAAATTCCATTCCTATTATTTCCCAAAGTGGCAAGCAAACTACTGTAAAATATAATTTATTCTACAAAATTCTCATGAAACCACCTAAAACTGAAGAAAAATATTAGAAGGGAACATGGTTATTCTGATGCCTTTCTTTAATTAGGAGGCAGTAATATTTGAAATCTAAATTTCCATATTCAAATACATATTGGAATGGCATCTACTTAATTAATTTATTATTTGATTATTGTTTAATTTGCAAACCATTTGCTACATTGAGTTCTTTGGATTCAAGTTATTTTGAATTAGTTTTTTCACCATATGACATCTGGCACTTAATTTTATTTTTCAAATTAGTATATATGATTATTTTAATCTTCATCATACATATGTATTATGAAGATTAGTTTTCAAAATAACCAATAATGGCGCCTACTATGATCAATGATAAAACACTTTTTGTTAAGGGTTTAATTAAAATAATACCAAGATTTTAGTTAGAAAATCATCACATTTTAGTAGGTTCGTAGAATTGACATAATGTATATGTATGGGATGGTTGCATGTAACCATTAAGATAATAACAAATCTTAGCATGGAGTAAAAAATTTTGTAGTAAAAAATTTTGTAAGAATGATGCGATTTTTGAAACGCCCTAACAACATATTTCAATTTTATGTCTATTGTTGTTCTACAAATTTATCATATTTATAAATCTTATTCTTTACGCTACATTTACGGATACAATAAAACTTTGTACCACCCACTATAATTCCTTAAAAATAAATCGTGATTGATTTTTCAAATTACAAAATCAATACCTGACTTTTTTTTTTTTAATTATGTTTGTATACTTCTTAAAATTCATAGATCTACTAAATATAACAATAAAAGGTTAGAGGGATCTATTCAAACGTAGTCCGTTAGTGTTTTTAGTGACGAACAATATTCTTGTTGGGGGAGTTATTATACTATCCTTGATGAGATAGAATTGAAATATACCTATGGTTAAATAGGCACGTTTAATAATCTCAAGTATTGGAGAGTATCGAAAAACTTGTAATGTAACACAATAGCATAATTGCACAAAATAATGTTGGATATTATTGCAGATGTTCGGAAGTACAAAGTGTTGATACTGAATTTGATAGAATGGAAGTCGGTCGTCTTGTTGCAAGATTTGTCCCTCGATTGAAAGCTAAAAAAGGTTATTTTATACCAAGCCATAAAAAGAAATAATTTTTAAAAACCAGCATATTGTTGTTAATCACCCACCCTACGAACAAGTGGTTGTATAATTGAAGTAAGAATACAATAATGTTTTCTCTCAAAAGAGAAAAAAAACAGAAAGAAAAACGAATATAATAGTGTTCTGGACTGTGGCGATTTTGAATATCCAAAGAGAGAAAGGTATTGGGTAAAATTATTTGAAATCATACAAATTATTTTACAGAAGACGAAGAGGGAGATTGCGTAGCTGTGAGAGTTTGTTCTGAGCAACTTTTCCCTTTTTCTTTTCTCTTTTTTTAATCATTGCCCATCAAAAGCATATTTCTTGGGAATCCGAGAAAATGGAGACCCAAAAGCCAAAGCGATTCCTTTAAGAGAAATTTTGTGTTATAAGTTCTACTAACTTGTGAGCGGACAGATGGATTTTGCTTCTATGGGGGTTCCACACAGTGGGTAATCCGCCATTAAACTAACATACCGAACAAAACTCCAAACTTCGCGATTCCCCAAAGCTTTCATGAGCATAACGAGCAAAAAAGGAGCAAAAGGGGCCAACCCCACATCTCTTACCGTCTAGTTTTTCCCATCCCTCGTTCAGTAGTCAGTACTCTATACACCCTTTTGTTATTCCTCTCTCTCTTTCTTCTTCTCTCTGTAATTTCCCACTGGTTCTGGCCGCCGATCCGGCTACTTCCATGGAAGATTCTTCCCGAAGGAAAAGCGGTTCCGTCTGGGAGCTTCGTTCTCGTCGGAGATCTTGGTGTTGTTCGTTTGCAGTGCCACCTTCCAGTCCGGAGAACTTTGTGGTTTCTCGGTCTA